CACTAGGTTTTTTTAATGTAAAAGATCCCAACATCCATTCAGATCTTCCACAACCAATTTTTAATTGTCTTTGAGATCTGGACTACACCACAATGTCAATTTAGCATTAAAAAAAGGATCAAGGTACATTTTCCAGAAGTAACATGCCAAAGTTTTCAAATCAGTTTGATAGTGATAGAAGATATTACAAATATATTATATTTTGAATCCAAAACAATCCAATTAATTAAATGTGTTATATAAGAATATTCCAAAAGGGCCAGAATAGAGAATTTGCACTAAGTGAAGGTGTCTTAAATTTAACCCTCACCTTTAACTGACAATTGCATCTTTTTCAACAATATACAGAATCCTGCTGATATTTACAAAACAATATACTGAGTTCATTAAAGTATTTTCTGGATATGTATGTACGAATTCCACACAATATATAAAGTATCCTGGAAATTACATTTATTTTAAGATCATTTATCCTACCCTAGAGGGCAAACTTTAATGAAATAAAATAATCACTTCATGTTTTTGTACTTTATCTTATTTTTGTAAACAGTGCTGGAAGCATGTTTCAATTTAACTTTAATAAATGAATTAAAGTTACTTAACGGTTTTTCAGTTTAGTATGATTGCTACACATGCACATGCACGCACACACATACACACACACACACACCCCTGCTTTGGAATAGGGATACCAAAAGTTTAATTAAGTCCATTGAATATTATACTATGATTAATACATTTTAATCATAGTAAAAATTATAATTTAGTAACAACTTCTGGTAGTTGGTGTGGGGATACGCTCAAGACTTGGAGTTGCGGGACAAGTAGCCCAGGAGTCTCAGTTTCTGTACTTCAGATGAGCACAACAAACAGTGTTGTTGAAACACCTTTATCATTTGTAGAATGAGGATGGATTCAGTAACAAGAAAGTCCCTTTTTAGATATTTGTACTAGAAGCTATGATAGGCTATATAAATATCAGTGATACTTATACCACAGCTGGTACTGGGTTGGCACGGTTGTATACATGCCAAAATTTAGACCATGGCAATATACCTACTAATAATTACTTTTGTTCCTTTAGCTTTTGCTCTTGCTTGCCATTTTCTACCTTTAATCTAAAGAAGAGCATAGGTAAGCAAAAAAAGAGAAGGGAATAGCTGTTTCTGCAAGCTCATTTGCATGTCTGGTCACATTGTTGGAAGGCAAGTGGACACTGGAGGGTTGAAGAGGAAACAGCACTGAGATAATTTTACCCACTAACTCCACAAACCTGGATTTGATATTGGCTTCAACAAAAACCATAGCAATTTCAACAATTTCAATTTCAATTCAGCCTTAGTGGAAGAAAATACATATATCTCCTGGAAGAATAAATTTAAAAAGAAAAGACTGCAAAGTATATTTCCATCACTCAAACTATCAAATAAAAAATGAGGCAAACAGTAGATAATGCAAAACAGGCTACCCATATTTGTAAAGCCGGAAATACATTTAGAAAGATCTTTAAGTAAAGTATATCTACCAACTTAGGTTATATTACTATAATACTATAATAATCAGAACACTAGTGTTGTGATGACTCAGAACAAATGCTTCTTGAAGTTTCATATTTCTGGGTCTTGAAGACAAGACAGCTGACAACTTCTTCCTTTCCACTGTAATTAAATTCCATTAATTTTATATAAAACAATATTATTATGGGATTTAAGTTTAGTAACTGACATATGATTCCCACCTTCACTTCATAAACATTACATATGCCAATGCAAATACAATCAAAATATGCAATGTTTCAACAGAGTTAATTCTCTTTTTAGATAGAATTTGTACTCATACTAGGTCTGCTAATTTTTTTTCTTATCCTACCTCTTAGATATTATAGTGATTAACATATCTGAATTTTAAAGTATCAAATGTTTAGAGTAAGAATGTTAAAAGGACTGAACACTAATTTTATCATTTGAAATCTATTGTTGTAATGATTGCACAGAAAATGTAAGAGATCAGAACCAGTTCTATAAAGTAGACAATGAACCTAATACTTAAAAGGGAAATGAGGATTATAATCAGCTTTGTGTTACATATGTTGCAAATAGAATATAAAGTAGATTACCAGGTAACGTCATAGAATCTATATTATTTGATACACAAGCATTGATAATGCCAGCACTCCACTTCAAAAAGAATTCTGGGTTCAGTGAAGGGCAAAAAGGTGATCAGGGAACTGGAAATCAAGTCCTGACAGGAAACACTGAGGGAACTTGACATTTTTAGTCCTGAAGACAAAACAGTAAGGCACGTACGGTAAACAAGAATAATAATTTTAAAACCAATTCAGCCACCAGTTGTCCATGAGAGCTACCAGTTTGGTTTCCATCCCAGGCCCATGCGGGTCCTGCGGATAGCTGCGGATGCTGGTTTAATTCAAACATACATACTTACATGGCAGTCTCTTCTGTCTGCTATTCTCAGCCAGGGAAGAAAGAAACCTATAGTGACTGAGAAGTGGCTTGGGGTTACTGTTGTGACAGCAGCAGAGAAGGGGGCATGTGACCCTCTGTTTCTCTTTTTCCTGCTCACCCTCAGTTGCAGATGGTTCAGTGGTTCAGCCTGGCTGGCCTCATATAAGAGATTTCCCTTGAAGAAGAGACCTCTATTTATGCCCTGATGCCATATGCAGAATTCTCTGCTATTGATAAGGGCTGTACTGGTTGGTTTAAGCACATTTGGGGCAGTTTTACCCCAGGCGTGTTCTGTTTTTCTGTGCAAGCTAGGATCTCTAAACAAAAGACTACTCAGCAAATCAACATACTATTGCTTAATATCTCATCAACAAGGAGGTACTGACTTAAGATACTTTTAACTTAAAAATAAGACTATTTTTTATTTAGTAAAAAGAGAAAAAGTCGAACAACAAATGGCATTTTAGATGCACATTCTTTATGGAAACATAAGCCTTATTTGCTAACTTGGTAGAGAAATTTGTTGTTACAGATAGTAGAGTATTGAGTTCAATTAATGAGTGTTGAACTAGAAACCTATTTTGCTGTTAGTGTATTGATTGAAATGCTTTAATGAAAAATACTTCTAGATAGACCTAAATTATCCAATTGCACTATAGTACATCCAATCTCTGTGCAGTACATATAGTGTCTACACTAAATCACTAAACTCACTAAATCATAATCATTTTTCTAAAAGACATAAAAGATCGAAGCACATCTGACCTCAGGGGGCAGCCTGTTCCAAAATGAGGAAGCTGCAGCTGAGAATATGATTATCTGGGTCCTAACCACCCTGTTCTTTCTCAAGCTGGGCACCTGAATCCTCTTTCTGGTAGACTGTGTAGGTCAGGCATATTCTTCTTGCAGAAGATTATCCTAAAGGAAATGAAAGACTAAGCCATAAAAAGCTTTATGGGAAAATATCATCACTTTGAACTGGGCCCAGAAGCCCACTGATAACCAATGCTGCCAGTTCTGAACAGACACAGGCTGCTGAATTTTGTAAAAGCTGCTGTTTCTGAGTCATCTTCAAGGGCAGTCTCATGCAAAATAAAGCCCCACATAAAACAGAGATTGCCTTCAGTGCCTCCTGGGTCAGGAAAGGGTGTAAATGGCAGATCTTCCAAAATTGGCCAAAGGCTCTCCTGACCATGACTTCCACCTGTTGTTTCAGGAGGAGCCATGATTCTCGGAGATTGCATAATAGCTCCTTCAGGGAAGTGCTACCCATCAAGAGCTATAGATGGAACTTTCATGGTACTGTACGATTTCTGAGCCAATAGTAACTCCATCTTGCTTTATAATCTGTTTTGCCCCATTCTATCCCTCACAGCCTCTAGGCAGCAGTTTAGGATTTCTACCACATCTCCTGTTTGCCCTGGGTCAATATGTAAAATGATATCCTCAGCATATTGATGATATCTAACCCCCAATCAATGGATGATTGCCCACAGTCTTGTGTAAAAAGAAAGGAAAGACAGCTGAGTACTAGAGCATCCACATTGGTGTGTACAAAGATTACTCTGAAAAGAGCTGTTGGTCTGCATTCTGCAGATGCAGCGAGTAGGGAGAAGTATTGATGCTTCACTGTTGGCCCAAATATGGGATCGTACTCATATCTGGTTATTGTCATTCCTCATCTCTTGCCATCACTGCTCCAGATGTCTTATTTTGAGCTTCCTCTCCTGGAGCTTCTTGTTAAATCAAGGAGCATTCCAGATTGATACCCAAAGAAAGGCTGCCCAAGGACAACCCTACTAAATGCTTGATAACCAGGTAGCCCTCAGAACTGCATGCTAAGTTGGTGTAAATTTCAAAAAACTTTCTGTTATATCTCATCTTAATCAATTAAAATCCATAATTATATTTAAATGGATAGTCTTTAGAAGAAATGATTGATTAGACATTTGGAGTGATGTTGAATTATTAATGGTATAATACATGTAGTCCATGAAATATTATGGATAATAATGATAAACCTAATCTAATTAGGCTTTATAAGAAGTTAAGTTCTTCATTCTGTTTAAACATATATCTTGCTCCAATATACTGCAAGTAAAATAGTTAATTAAAAGCAATATTATATTTAACAAAAGATCATTTACCTCTAGAAGAACTAGTTATGATGGAAGTAGAAAGAATTAATATAAATTCATTTTCTGATGCTAACAGAACTGAATATTCTTTTTACAAGATTAAATAAGAAAAAAAGAAATCTAAGTGTTGCATAATGGTTGGGAGCTCTCAGCACTTCAGGAAAAATACTTAACTTATTCACTGGTAGTTCCACAAAGTTTTTGGGACAGCTAGTATCTTATATTAGCCACAAGTACTTGAAAAGGTAGGTTAGTATAATCTAAATTAGCTACTTTATATTATAGATTGAAATTACAAGTAAAATATTTTATGCAAGATAAATTACCAAAAAGGCTATTACCACTTATTATCTACTTCTAATTTCAATAACTTTTTTTTATTATTTATTTCAAATAGGGCAGAAACAACTTGGGCTCCATTTATGTGTGGGCATCTGGAAATGGTGGAAGAAGTAAGGATCATTGCTCCTGTGATGGCTACACCAATAGCATCTATACCATCTCCATCAGTAGCACAGCTGAAAGTGGGAGAAAACCTTGGTATTTAGAAGAATGTGCATCAACATTAGCCACAACCTACAGCAGCGGAGAATCCTATGACAGGAAAATAGTATGTGGTCTTTTCACCATGATTGAAGTACAATTGAAAATAAAATTGACAACTTCTTTTTATAAATATCATATAGGTTTTATTTATCCCTAAAGTCACTTGACATTTTTTTATATTGAAAAAAAAAATTGCTCCTAAAAAAAATCTCTTTCATCCTCTATGTGTAACCAAAAACTGATTTGCACAAGAAACAAACATACAGGAAATCTTCCAACTGAAGGGAGGGGAAAACACATTTGTTCTCTCTCAATCCTAGTTTTCCATCATGAATACAAATTTGTTTAATGTTTTCTCCTTTTCAGTCTCTTGCTGCTAATAAGGAGTTAAGATCGGCTATTTTTCAAAATATATCGTTCCTTCTAATAATCTGGGATATTAGCCATCTCTCCTGGAAACCTTGCTGTTTTCAGATGATTAATTTTAAAGACAAATTCTGAGGTAACTCTTCATTCCAGTAATTATTCTGTTATCATCTGCTTTCTTCTACATATTTTTCTTTTGATACATTTTATATATTTGGCTTTTTTTTCCTATAATCTCACTAAACGGTAAAAGAAGGAATAAGTCATTAATTTTTCTAGCAAAAAAATATTCCTGTGATGAAATTTCCCATCATGAATTCAAGAGTATTTTGGTAATGTTGGTTTTATGGCAAAGTATTTGATAATCTACTCTTGTATAATTCTAATTCCCTTTCCCTCAAAAATATGATATAGTTTAACACGCATTGGTTCAAATATTTCTAGATAAGATTTTCTTAAACATTCCATGCTGGAGCCCTAAATAATTCAACCTAGGATCATTTTTGTATTTTAAGTTAATTATATAAAATTAGACTAAAGAATCCATGCACTTAAAATGTAATTAATGACTTCTAAAAAAGCAAGGATTCAGAAGCCAACTTTGCAGTGGACTTCATTCACAGATTACAGTATGTTACACATGAAATGTATAAAAATTATTTTGGCTACTAGTGTTCAAGAAGAGCATGATACCTTTTCAATCTTTTTTCACATTTCTCTGATATAAAAGCAAGAATAGTAAAAACATAATTCTGCAGGATTTCTTTTGATCCCAAGCAGTGGGGCTAGAATGGGGAGCTAAGTAGCACCATGCATTTAAACCTGTCAAGTCATCCCATCCTATCTACCTGATAAATGGAGAGGGATTCAAAACTATGCAAGCAACTGTAGGTGCAATTTTACTTTAAAGGTTTCTTGAAATCTTGACAGTCTCAAGTTGCTACTTAATGATGGAGTGACAGCAGCATCTAGACATAATCCTAATTCTGCTTGCAGAAGAAATCTGGCAGTTGTAATTTATAACTAAATCTGTCTGTTATAAATCTACAGGCATCTGCAGACAGCCGCCTGTCAGCCAAGAAGGTCTGCCTCAAAGAAATAGCATCTTCCAGAGCATCCCTTTTCAACTGAGAGGCCCTCCATACATGCTGGAAGCCTATTAATTAGGGAGAAGAAAGTGGCTAAACTCCATGCAATAACAGAATTGGAGATGCTATGTAATCTCTCCAGATCATTTCTGTGGAATTTGAGATAATGTAATTTAATGATCCTACCCAAATTTTTGCAGCATCCCTAATCTTTGAAAATTCTTCTCAATACTCCACTCCACTATACTTCATCCAGTCTAAAGCAGTAACAGCAAAGACATATTAGGTTCCTGCTGCTGGGCTGGCTAGACTGGAAAAGATTTGGGGAAAAAAAGAAATCCAGTCACAACCTGCAAAACCACAGAATTTGGGATTGTCAAAACACTTGACAGGACAACTGCTCAAAATGGTGTTATTTGTTTTGAGGCTTCATCTCACAAGAAAACTTTCATGTTTTGTTTCACACTTAGAATACTTGGAATTGCCACTTCACTTTGTAAAAAGGGCAGAATATTTTGCATATTCCTAATTATAAGGCCATCTGACCCCAGATGGCTATGGATGGTGAACAACAATAAAACCAAGTATAAAAACAATCAGAATGGTTAATCTGGAGGGAATACCCCATCACCAACCTCACCTATAAATAATTTCAAAGGAGCCCTGCACTCACTATCACACAAAGACTGGGGGAAGGTCTTCAGGGCTCTTGAAGAAGAGCAGGGTAGAGGACATTCATATATTAGGGAGAGAACAGGTGCTGAGTCAGAGAAGGCACACTTCCAGGTTCTCATCAGATGACACTGCTTAATGGATGGGACCCAGAGCATGCTGACTCTTTCTGAATGAACAGAATGGCAGTGTTGTATAACATCCAACTGTTCTCAGAGTTCAAGCAGTAAAATCACTTCCTGGTTGTTGTTTTTTTTTAAATTAAGTTTAGATTTGACATGGCAATTGGGATAATATACAAAGCAGATACATTTAATCAACTTTGCTTTAAAGATGGAGAATCGCTGCAGCCTGCTTACATCTAAATATTTTAAGTGCTGTTGGCTCAAATAGAATTTCCACTCAGAGCATTTTTGTTACCCTTTTCTGAATGAAATACCTCTTTAAATAGTTGAAATAAGACTGGTGATGGGATTAATATGCTGAATAATAATTCAGCCTCTATGACCATAATCCAACATAAATCTAATTATGCCTAACCTTATGTTCATAACTTTATTAATAATGTAGTTATGATGCCTTGAGCTAAAACAAACAATCCTACATGCAATATAACTTGAATCCAGAGTTTGTATAAATAAAATCTGTTGACTCACTAAGACTTTCTTGTCCTTTCTGCTTCTTCAACCCTCTATTGTCCAAAACACCTCTCCTGAGGATTTGGCAACTTTAAAAAGGCTTAAACGTATTATTTTGGCTTTAGGAGGAAAGAGAATTACAAATAATTATGCTAATTACATATTTTACTGTTTTCTTTAAAACAATAACTGAATCCAAGCCTATTATTTTCAGAGAAGGTTCTTATTAATCTCATTAATCTGTATAATATAAATGTGTATCTGTATAATATAAATGTGGGTCTATCAAGCCAGTACATAATTCCTGCCTACATTTCTTTATTATTTATAAATAATATGATGTATGCCATCAGTTCCATAGATTCCAGTAAGCTTACAATCACAACATATTAAGAAAATAAATAAAACCAACATAAAAGCATAACCAACATCAGACTGGGAAAATAATCAAATAGCCACTAGTACTGCTGTTAGCCCAATGTGAAGTCCTCCTCTTCAAAGTCTCTGTGGAAAAGCAGAGTTTTAAGTGACCTCAGTAGGCACGCTGTTCCGAAGCAATACTGCCACAGTATCACTCTACTATACTGGTTTCTACTGTCTGCAGGCGTGCAACTACATTCTGTGCCAGCTGTAGTTTCTGGATCATCTTCAAGGACAGTCCCTTCATAAGGAGAGGCACAATGCCCTTCTGTTTGGTTCAGAGGAGTTATAAGTCTGGGAGATATGTTTTGCTTGTGCAAGACTTCCGTTAAAGACTTCTTTGAGTGGAGCTTAAGTGATACAACAGATTGATGTGAAATTTGTTTGGTGGGTGCCTTCTACTGATCTTATGTTTGTCACTATGCTACCATAACAATTATATTTGCTTTGCTAGCTGAAATACTGGGAATTTTCCAGGGACAAAACACTGATAACTCAAAAGCAAGACATTGCTTCTACAAGTTTCAATTTTTCCTTTTTATATTTTTTAAGTAGTGGCCCTAACCTGCTTTGTATGAATTAAATCACTGAAAAGTACTTGACATTATTTTATATTTTATTTGGAAAAAAAGAAATGTAATTAATATGTAATATAAATGTGCTGGTGTTTTGTTGTTATGTATTGATTTTAAAATTAATACTTGTCAGAACCTATCCAGCCATACACTGGAATGAAACAATCTCCTTCATGCTGCTTTAAGGGAGGGACAGGAGGGGATACAATCTACATTGATTGATCAATTGATTGATTGATTTTGCTTGTATGCTACCAAATGTTGCCATTCAAGCCAGGTAATGAAGATCAGAAATGACCAGCAAGTCCTTCTACATCCCTAGCGGTCAATTTGCCATATGGACTCAAATTCAGGCACTAGAACATTCTGAATCTAGGTTGTGGACCTATAAATCCTTAACCATTTAATTGTTTACTATGTAGACCGATGTTTCTTAAAAAAAATTCTGTCAGGACCCCCTCCCATTTTTAAAAATTATGGAGGACCCCAAAAGACCTTTTGTTTGTATGGGTTCTATTTATAGATATTTACCATAATAAAAATTTAAATTGATGTGTTTGCTGCCACTACTGTTTCTCACAATTGTTTGATGGGATTTTAATATTGTATTATTTTTCAACATAGGCTGCAAATAATTTTGATTTCGCAGACCCCTGAGAGGGTCATGGGGGACACCTAGGGTCCTAGGAACAAACTTTAAGAAACACTGATGTAGATGAACTGACAAAGTTTTAACCTGTACTATTTAATGCCAAGTCACTGAGAAGTATAGAGAAATTATATTCTTCCTGAGACTTGAATTACACCTTGTATAGACCTGAATACAGCATTATTAAGTTTGGCACATGATAAGTGCTTTATATTTGACAATTGTTAGGAAAGCAAGAATTTGCTTTGTGCATCATTTCCCATCTTCCTCTCCCCACCCTCTACCCCAAGTACTGTTATTGGCTTCCAAGTTGTAGCATAACCAAGTGCCGAGGGCATGTCACCTTTTTGGCTTTCTGTTAACTCTTTTACTGGCAGTTACATTTATCGTTTACTGGCAGTTGCCTTTATTGTTTCAATTTGTATTCCACGTCATAGTTTAGCAGCTTTGTAGATTGTGTCCTGAGGCTATACTTTACAAAAGTCATTATACTTTTACTTATATTGATAACTGATGCACAGTATATGACTTTCTTTGGGTGAAATGCGTTCAGTTCTAATGTATGCAGCACATGCTTCTTTTATTCATTATATTTTGATAATCATAATATGATATTTATTTTCTAACTGATATAAAAATTTTTGGACATGACTACAAAGTTTTACATTTTCAGGTTACATCTTCATTTAAACCGGATGGAAGGTGGCTTATCTAAAATTTCAATCTTCCACGCCTAATTTCCAATTAATATTTAATTTCCAATGTTATACATGCATAATCTGGGAGTAAACCTCCTTTTATAGGATTTATTTCTAATGTATATATTAATACTTTCTATTATGTACTGTAGTTGTAACAGTATTTATGTTGAACACATTAAAACGATTACATTTGTGTTCAAAAATACTATTTTAAAATGGGGTGCCTTTTTATGGCTCTCAAAAGTCTTCATGTAAGATAATGAATTGTACTTTTTATTATGATAGATGGGGGAAATTTAGGAAAATAAGTAATGGGGAGTAATCATAGTAAATGTATTTAATTTAAACTTAAATCTTTTTTTTTCCTGGCCTGACCCAAATATTTTTTCTTGCCCTGTCCACTTTTAGAATGGGGTTTATGGCATAACATTGAAAGGCTAGAGATGACCCCATTCCACAGCAGTTATTTATATGAAGCACAGGATTTTCTTGACATAGTAACCCAACTCAAGTTTCAGATATCCAGAATGCTCATCACATGAACACTTCAAAGATGCCCCATTGACATTGTAAATGTAACTTTGGTTCCTGCAGACGCTCTTGCCTACAGCATGAATGTTCACAGGACAGAAGCTGTGAGGGCTGCTATGTGAGGAATGACACTGATTATGTTAGCTCAAGTGGAAGCCAGTGCATATACAATTGTATGTTGGTACTCAGTTGCAATTGTCTGCAGGAGCTGCTGTCATATGAGTAGCCCTAGTTGAGGCAGAAGTTTATTCAGACTGTGTGCTTCTGTTATTCAAAGGGGTAATATTGACTGCTACTCATGTCATTGAAGGTGTAAAATTTATCTTAGGATGGAGTTTAATTTTGCTTGCAGCACTACCATAAAATACTGCAGTGTCAAATCATCTAACAAAGTGTTCGTTAAAACTCCTCATGAATGTAATATGGGATTGGGTTTCACTTGTTGCCAGAAACTTCATGACTACAGTATTCTGGGAGGCAAATGGTTTTTGGATATCCACATGCTTTAGAGAGCTGAAACAAGCATTTTAAAAAAAAGTTATCCCACTGAATAATAATAGAGTTTCAAATGCCTATGTCATTTCAACAAAAGAAACATTTTTTGACTGCAGCAACATTATTCTCAATTATACACTTTTTTCCCCAGATCACTACAGACCTCAGGCAGCGTTGTACAGACAGTCATACAGGAACATCCGCTTCTGCACCTATGGCTGCAGGAATCATTGCACTGGCACTGGAAGCAAAGTAAGGATTAAATTTTATTTTTGTTTTCCATGAAAAGTCGTTAAGACATAGGATTCTATGCATTCTTTCCCTTATTTCCACAAAATGTTACTTTCCCCTAAAAATATTTGTCCAACTATCCCTATTCATGTATTGGTTTAACCTAGATATAGATCAAAGTTACATTGTGGTGGCATTTCCCTTTCTTAAAGTGTATTTAGTTGTTAATCGTAAATCTGTATTCCAGATTTGTGTAGTACATCAGAAATAATGGTAGGTATAGCTCTATTATTTACAATGAATGCAAGATCAAATTCCATACATAACTGAACAGTTTTAAGTGTAACTTAAAAGTGTAAAGTTTAAAAGTGTAAAACAATAGTTATAACAGTTAGCAATCAGCTGTTATATTAAGGCCATCTTCTGTGCATCTGTGGTCATTGTGTTTACTAATTGTTTTATCTGTTATCAAACAAAGAAAAGGCTTGTAATCAGCAGTCATTGCAAGGGAGTGGGAGGGGGGAATGGGAGGCTCAGAGTGAAACAAGCAGGGTTGCAATATCACGACGCAAGCCTTGCCCCTTTTCTACATCCATCACAACATCACAGGCATACCCAAAGGGGTAGAGCTTGTACCTCAACACTATTTTCTTCACTCTGACATAAGCAGTGACAGCCTGCAGATGCTGCTGCCCTTAATGCTTTTAGGCCAAATCAATAGCTGTAAATAATTTTCAGTGTATTGAACCCAACGGAGACCCCCAAACCCTCTCTTCCTGGGTCGGAATTTCTAGCACTGATTCAGTCAGGCTTGGACTATTTTGGTTTGCAATTAGGCTTTTAAAGACAGAATTGCCCTAATGTTGCCTAGGGGAAGAATGAAAACTTGGCACGGGCCAAGATTTTACTAATATCTGCTGGAAGAAAAAAAATTACAGATTACTACTGCAGAGGTCACAGATGCTCCCACAAAAAGGTTTGCTAACAGTATCTTTCCACTAGCTTACATATGTAGCCCAGGGCACCCAGATTGTCTCCACAGCTACAGTTCTCACTTGAGAGGGGACAGATTTTTGCTTCTCATCGATTTTAGTCTAGAGATGGTGGGGCTAATATTCCTTCTCCATGGCTGGACCGAAAATATTTGATGGGCTGAAACATGCAACAAACATGCAGCACAACAAAACCATCCCTAAAACAGTTGCTCTGCAGGCATGAATCAGTAGTTTTTGGTGGAAATAAATCATACTGCTTTTCTTATCCAGCCCCTGATGAAAGATACAATCTCCTTGGAGTCAAGCTCTGCTCTTGGTAACTCCATGAACACATCCATATCATTCTCTTGGCAAATATACCAACGTGTTTTGCCATTGTCTTCTATGGATGCTTTTGACGTCACTGCCTAGCCTACAGTCCTGGTACTCCCGTCTAAATACTAACCAGGAATGACCCTGCTTAGTTTCCAGGCTCAAATTAGATCAGCCAAGTGCTGCTGAAATAAATCCAGCTGTTGCTAATTTGTTCAATTGTTTCCCTAGATGAGGCCTGTATTTTTGAATCAACATCCAGTATTTGTTCAATTGTATTTTGTATGAGTCAACGATTGTATGAAAAGAACTAAATAATAGACAAACAGGTAGTAATTGAAAAGCTTAAATAAATTAGCTTGAAATAGAGTAGTGCCTGTGTTATAATTAGATTGCTCTTCACGTGGTGTTTGGAGAAAAGTTAATAAACCAGATTATCTGAAAATTTCAGTCACATCTTAATCATCATGAAAAATTCTCACAGAAATTATCCAGAACTCTGATGTATTTTGTACAATTTAATTACTAATGAATTAATATTGTCATTAACATTAAAGGTAATGTTAAAAATAACGTTTTTAAAAATTAAAACAAAACATTGTTATAGCTAACATTATCAAAATATAAAATGGCAAGCAATCCATAAATCCATGAATAATGCAAAAGGAAAAAAAGAATGTGAAGGAAGGAAAAAAATTAGCAAGTTGTGATGCCAGTTTTTAAAGCTACATACTTTTTATACTGCATAGCTTAAACTAAAATAGTCCAGAAAGAAAAGAAACAAAATGGCTTGTTGTCACAACTCTTTTGCTAAAGAATATGTAAACAAATGATTGTGGCACAAAGTGATTATCAACAATATACAATGCTTTTCTTAATATAGTAGTTGTATCCAATTGGCCAGTCCTGGCAAAATGTTGTTCATGAGGTCATAAAGAGTTGGAAGCAACTGAACGACCAAAACACCAAATACGTTTGGGGCTACAGCTAGTGACGTCTGAGAAACAGCTGCTTGAGCAATGAATCTTCCTCTTCTTTCTCTTGTACACCTGGCATTTCTTCCCATAACAAAGTTCCTCCAATTCTCCAGAAGAGACTTGGAGGCCTTGCAGAAATCAAGGGCAATCTATTTCACCAGTAATGTTTTATAATTAGTACTGAATATATTATTGAATTTGTTGAAAATCTACGTTCATATAATATGTGTTACCTGAAGTTAACCATGTTTAGTGAGGAATATCCCCTTATTTTCTGATAACCCTACTTGTTGGAGGGTGCAACTGCAAATTCAGTGATGATTTCAATATAGTTGCTACCATCACTCTCCTTGGTGCCCCAGAATGCTCCCTCCTATGCTAGTTTTCCATTAACTTTTTTCTGGATACATTGGGAATTCAAACAAAAACAAAAACCTTCCATTGCTAACCAATCATTTCTATTTTACAATCATGCCTTTGTGTCCTATGAGGGGTTCAGAGGCATTATTGAGGTTGGGGGGTGGGAGTTGATGAAGGGAGTTTATTTATTTTTATTTATTAAATTTCTCCCTGCCCATCTCCCCCCAGTGGGGGACTCTGGGTGGTTCACACAAAACATTAAAACCATAAATACATATAGATACATAAAACATCAAAATTTAAAAACATTACTAAAAAAGAGAAAGAGAGTCCAAGAAGATGATGAAGGATCTGGGGCTGAAGACACCATGCCTCTATGGGGCTAGCCATCCCCATGCTTGAAGTATTCCTTCCCCACCCCAGGCCAAGTGACAGAACCAGGTCTTCAAAGCCCACTGGAAGGCCAGGAGTGAGGGCCCCAATCTCACTTCTGGGAGCAGAATATTCCAGAGAGCAAGGGCTACTGCAGAGAAGGCCCGCCTTCAGCACCCCGCTAATCAAAGTTCTTTTACTGCAGGGGTCCAAAGCATGCCCTCTCTGTGTGATCAAGGGGGGTGGGTTGAAGTCATGGGGAAGAGGCAGTCCCTTAGGTAACCTGGTCCCATGCCATGTAGGGCTTTAAAGGTAATAACCAACACCTTGAATTGGACCCAGAAGCAGACTGGTACCCAATGCAGCTGGCGGAGCAATGGTGTTACATGGACCCTTCTTGGGGCTCCAAAAATAGCCCACACAGCTGCATTCTGAACCATCTGTAGCTTCCGGATACTCTTCAAGGGTAGCCCCATGTAGCACGCATTGCAGTAGTCTATCTGGGAGATAA